GTTGACAGCTGGCGCGGGGTCAGCTTCTACTACTGGCAGAGGCAATCTACTTTTTAAAGCAAAAGGGACCCTTCTTGCTTTAATCCTAATGGGAGTGACAGTGGGGTCTAGCTTTAAGGACACAGGTGGTCCTTTGAATGTGCCCAGCTGGGGGCTGAAAACATCTGCAAATTCTTTGCAGACTTCCTGTAGGTCGAGTGTTTGTAAGCTATTGAGTCCTGTGACGTGTATCCCCAGGGCCTCAAACCAATCGAGTCCTATGAGACTCGTTCGTTCACCCCCTACTACTAATAAGTCTAGTGGACCTTCAAAACTCTTGTATTGCACGTTAAGGGTGGCCTCCCCCTTAACACACACTCTTGAGTTCTGAAAATCTGTTAATACAATATCAGAAGGCCTTAACTTGGCCTTAGACCCACTTCTGGAACAAATCTTCCTAAATGTATGCAATGAAATGATGGACAGGGCAGACCCTGTGTCTAGTTCCATAGATAATGGAACCCCTTGTAGCTTCACGTTGAGTGACAGCTTTTTCTTCATGGGCTTGTGTGTGCCTGTTCTACAGATGCTTCTTCGCGAAGCGCAAAAACCTACCCTATTCTGGCTGGGGAATCTGGTACCCTTCAGGCGTTCTTCTTGGGGTTGTGCCTTTCGTCGGCCCAGGCACACAGCTGCAATATGCCCTTGTTTACCGCATGTCCGGCAGGTAGCGGAGCGGAACTTGCAGTCGGTTCTCCTGTGGCGACCTCCACAGTCGATGCACTTGAGCGGAGCCGAAGAGCTTCCCTTCTGGTTTTCTTCCCTCGCGGGGTGTAGACGGTCGACTTCCTCGTCCGGATCCTCCTCGGAGTTTCGTCGGACGTCTTCCTGGTGCACGGACGCACCCTCTGCACTGTTTCTGATCGGCCGCATGTTTTTGACGGCGCCGCCTGCTGCTTCTTCTGCGGTGACTTCCCTTAAGGCGTCTTGGAAGGATAATTCTTCCTTTGCGAAAAGTCTCTGTTGTAGCTCGCGATGCCTTAACCCGCACACGAATCGGTCCCTCAGTCGTTCCTCGAGGTCCTTGAACTCGCAGGGCTTGGCGGCCTTCCGTAACGCGGCGATGTATTCCTTGGCTGACTCACCGGACCGTTGATCTCTTTGTTCGAAGGTGTGGCGCCATGAGATAACGGACACCCTGGGGTTGAAGTGCTCCTTCAGCAGCTTCTTCAGGTCTGCGTAGCTTACAGACTCTACTGGGACAGGTGCTGCAAGGTTTTCTGCGATTTCGAAGGCATCTTGGCCGCAAACGCAAAGCAGGGTGGCCGCCTTCAAGCTATCTTCCCTCACTTGGTTTGCCTTGAAGTAGTTCTCCATTCTGGATACGTAGGACTCCCACCGCTCTGGATGTGAGACGTCGAATTCCGAAAGCCTTCCGATTTTCGCCATCTTCGGATCTTCAGGAGACGGGTCTATCAGCCAGCCTACCCCCGAATGCGCACCGGATTGGCGGGCAGCTGCCGAGTCGACGCCGTTCCTCTTTCGCCGCTCAGGACTCCTTGGGTAAGCTTACACTTCTTCCTTTCCAGGTAGTGCAAGGCATCCCACCTTCGTCGCCAGTGTTGAGTCCGTGGCGGGAAAACAGACACGAGAAGCAGCTGGAGTTCTCAGTTTCATTTATTCAGCGTTCAGCTTACATGAAGATGGCTTCAGCCTCGCCCAAACGCCTCGCAGCCTCTTATATAGGCAACTCCCGGGTAAATGGGTTACTTTTCCCGCGCCAGCACCCGCGCATGCGCACGGCGCTGGCGACAGCCTGTCTGGTCCCGGGCAGCTTTGCACCTGCCCGGGACTGCCTGCAAACGCCCGAGCCGTTTGCAAAGGCTCGGGACATAACAAACATTTTAATTTTTATGTACTGTTTTATATGTTGATATTCTACTTAACACCATGCAGAGTCCTTCTTGAGGAAAATGGACAGTTAGGAACTGTGAAATATGAATAAATATAATGTGGAAAAATGGGACCCTGAATTTTTTAGGCCTTTGGTGTGATTCTGTAGACTAGAGGATGTGACAATTTATAACCAATGTTTATATGACATTAAATTAAGGTAAACATTATTCCATACCTGGCTATCTAGAAAAGGGAATTTTTTCACACAGAATCTCAGTTTGGAATAAAATTGATTCAGTGATAAGCAGGAGTAGTGTAAAAAGTTCATTCTGGTTTACTAGTGAGACTGGCATTTTGTATTTTATTCATGACTTGAATGTTCTCTTATCAGATTTGCAGATGACACAAAAGTGGCTAATATAGTATGAGACAGAAACAGTTCAAAATGATCTAAAACTGATCTCTACTTCTGAATCTCACAAGTTAAAAAGAATTCAGAGAAACTAAAACAGGTTAAAAGAAGAAGCAAGGATGATCAGAGAAAGAGGGCACTTTACTGGACGTTTAACTTCAGGTTAATAGTGTGTGTTGTGTGTGTGTGTGTTGTATGTGTGAATTGTGAACTATTTTTTTCTTTTTTTTTTCAAAACAATTTTTATTAGTTTTCCATTTTATACCAACACAGCTTAAGAACCCACGTGGAAACATGGTGATCCATTTTTTAAAAAAACAAGCAATAACATAGTACATATGTATTTCTTAAAAATTTCCCTCTCTATCTATATAGAATATTATATTTAAATTAATACATTTTCAAATGAATTCATTCATCACTATATCTAATCATCAACTATATGAATCAATAAAAAATTAATCTATAAAATTACATTTCTTAAGAACATTATAATCAAGTCAATATCTTTCTAAAACCAATTCATTCACTAATATAACATCTCATCCAAGTTATATAATTAAAAATAAACTAACATTTGCTGTCTATTTATGTTATTATAGGCTTATTAAAACATTTCTAAAACAAATTTTCATTGAATATGTTACTCTATATGAATTTCATTAATCAATAAAAGTTTACAAACTCATTATCCATCCCAAAAATCCTGTATTATGCTTTCTTAATTTTACAAATATTTAATCTTAAACTAACATATTCATTTACTATTCAGGTACCCCAATTGTTTTTTTATTTAAGCATTATTAACTCCAAAAATAAATTCTTCTCTTTCTCATCAATCTTCTGTTGTTTTTCACTATGCCTCCAAATCTCCAATAATTAATTTCATCATTTCCCATATTTCAGTTCTTTTCTCATTATGCCATCTCTAATAATAAAAACATATAAAGCCATTTTAACAAAATCCAAGTCCAACTCAGTCCAAATCGCTGTAAGGCCTTTACCACATTACTATAATCAGATTTAATATTTTTATCTTATTCTGGGTTTCTTTCTAGTCCAAACAGGTTTCCATAATCGGGTCTCCGTCTGCCACACTATACACTCCAAAAGGAAAGCTCCCCTTATACATTTTGTTAAATTAGTATAAAAGTTGTAATTAATCTGAATGACTTGTAGCACAACATCATTTCCCCTTTCTTTTAACATTAAGTAAATTTCACTTAAAATCCTTTCTTTTATATTGTCCTCTTTAATCACATGTTTCTCTTCTTCCCATGTTTTTTTCTCTACCTCAAATTCAAATGGCGTCTGCCAACCAACTTGTCCTTCTGAAACAAGATCGTCCAGTTCCTTATTATAAGTCCTTTGTCTATTGATATCAAATCTTTTTTCCAAAATCAATTGATTGTCCAACTGTGGATTTACTTCTTCCACCTCAATAAGCAAGGCACAAGCCTCTTGTGTATAAACTGATGTTTCACTTAGTCCTTGTCTTTTGCCTTGTTGAAATAAAGAAATCTCCTTTGAACAGGCAATTATCTTCTCCGTATTTTCCAAAATTTTGTCCAAAATATATTTATAAGTAATATCTACACCAGTTTCCTCCATCTTTATTATCTTTCAAATCCTTATCCTTTTAAAGGAGACTATATGTAAAAAATGATCACAATATCCATCTCCTCCCAGTTTCCTTGCCTTTTTCCTTTGTACAAAATAAAAGCTTTTCCAGCAAAGAAAAGGTAGCAAGTTCAATGAATAAATTTGTCAGAGTGTCTCTCAAAAAGTAATCAAATGTTCAATCCTTCCAGACACCATAAAGGTAAAAGCAAGCAGTATTCTCCAAATATTATAAAAAACTTTCTTGAGGCTCCCAATCTCCAAAGATAAAATCAACAATAAAACAAAAATAAATTTAATCCTTTGTGCTTCTCTTCCTCCATTTAAAAAGCCACTTCACCAGAAAAGGGAGTAATTCCAAAAGAAAAAAAAACTTTTCACAGGCATAAAGAAAATAGAGGTAAAAGGAAAGTCTCACTGAGTTCTCCACGGTGGGTCCGTTTGCTTAGCTGATCTTGTGGCTTGCGGTTGGTGCAGCTATATGATAGGCCATTTTACTAGCCAATCTTTACCCTGTTGGCCCAAAGGAGATACTTGGTGCACAGAGGATGCCACTGCTCCTCTGCAACTATCCAAGAGCCTTCTCAACAGAAGACGCTCCTCCAGAGCATCTTTTCGACCCTCTAAGGAATCTACCGGCAGGGGAAACTTGATCGGCAAAGGGACGACTCCCTTTGCTCGACCGCACCGCCGTGAACCAGAACCGGAAGCTGAATTGTGAACTATTATAGCTAATATTCAAGGAAGTGCATTGGGACCATATGCACAATACCCTGAATACTACTGACAGATGTTTTTATGATAGCCAGGTTGCCATGATATGCCAGGCAATCATGCAGTTGATATGATTTAGGACTAGCATTTTATGTGAATTTAGACCTTTCAATCTATAAATCAACCCTCCATCCTACTATCTATCTGTGTAAAACATCATGTTCTCTTTTAGAATTCACTATTAGGTATTCCTTGGTATTCATGTGAGGTCTTAGGATAATGATGTAGCATTTAGGGATAAAGATGCAACCCATTAAGCCCAGACTGGAGGCCAGGATAGAGAAGATCTGCACAGCCACCATGTATTTTCCTTTGGTGCTCAGGTACGTGGGGACAAAGGAAACCAAACACTGCAGAAAATCAACATGCTGAAGGTGATCAACTTGGCTTCGTTGAAGGTTCCTGGCAGCTTGCGTGCCAGGAAAGCCACCAAGAAGCAGATGGCAGCCAGAAGGCCCATGTAACTTAGTGCAGTGTAGAACATGATGATTGACCCTTCATTACATTGCAGCAGGATGTATCCTGGTTGAGAATGTATGTCAGAATCTGGGAATGGGGGAGAGATTCCCAGCCATATCATGCAGATACCCACCTGAATCCCAGAACAGGATACAACAATGGAGTTGGCCAGAGTCTTTCCTAACCATTTCCTCATCCTGCTGCCTGGCTTTGTGGCCAGAAATGCCACCACCACCATGACAGTCTTTGCCAGCAATGAAGACACTGCAACTGAGAAAACAACACTGAAGATGCTTTGTCGAAGAAGGCAGATGATTTCTTTGGGGCGACCAATGAATAGAAGAGAGGTCATGAAGGAGAGGAGGAGGGAGATCAGAAGAATGTAGGTGAGGTCCCGGTTGTTGGCTTTAACTATTACAGTTTCTCTGTATTTAGTGAAGATTCCCAGAACAAAGGCAGTGATTAGGGACAAAGCAAGGGTAAAGGAAGCCAGGATGATTCCCAATGTTTCTTCATAGGACAAGAAGCTTATACTTTTAGGGATACATTCATTTCGCTTCTCATTGGAAAACTGGTCATCTGGACACTTGCTGCAATGGGATGCATCTGAAAAAACATTTGCTATATATAAGTATTTCTGCAATTGTAATCATAAAATAATGAGATTGGAACCAATACTTTATACAATGCATAAAACATGTTTTTGAAAGTGATGGGGTAGGAGAGGATATAGGGAGAGCTGGAGAACTTAGAAAATACTTTCCAACTATACTGCGTGAAAGCCTAAGTTGGATGGTGAGACAAAATGATGAATGAACATTGTACAATAGGGATGATGTTCTATGGAATATGAAATTGAATATAACTGAAAGATGAAGGTATAGTGTACCATTGTCCTACTAGTGATTCTTGGTTTCCTTTTTTTCTCCAGAACCACCTACCTTCTTCCACTGAGAATGTTCCTTCCATACACAGAGAACAGTCATGGCAGCAAACAAGTGCTCCTTTTCTCACAAGTTTGACATATCCTGGGTAACAATTTTCTGAACATCTAGAAGAAGGCACTGTCTAAACATAAAATAGAAATAGAAATAAAGGCACCACATGAGTTACAGTAGAGGGGTTTATTTAAAAAAACCTGTTTCAGGAACCAAGTTGCTCATGAAAAATTGGAGAAAGCAAATGGTAGTGACTGATCAGTTCCCCTATCTCCCTTCCTTTCTAACTTTATGAAGAACCATATAACATTGATCTTCATGGAAAAGGATCCTGGAATCAATTGGAAAAGAAGTTATGACGTGTGGGAATGCTATGTATTGTATTTTTCTCTCTAATTCTGCCTTGTCAGAAACCTCCAAAATCTGGCTTTCTTTGTCATTGCAAATGTCCCTGCATTTCTCTCCTCTAGCTGAACATTGTAAGAAGATTATTTGATAGGTTATTAATTATGATATAATTATATAATTATAATTTGTGGTATAGCACATTCTGGTTTGTGATAAACTATAGAAAAACATCTTAAACTTACATGATATTTAATGAATTAAGTTTTTCTAAAAAAGTTTCACTTACAGGTAGTCCTCGAATTATGAGTGTAATGGAGCCTGCACATTCCACTTGTAAATCAAAAACTCATAGAGTGAATCTTGTTCATTTAGCAAAATCACTCTCTTCCTTGTTAAAACGCATGTGGCTCATTAAGTAAACATGAGGTATCTCAGGGTGGGTAAGGCCATGGAGGGCCTAGTGATGGAACAGCCCCCCAAGACCTCCCCGACCCACTAAGATACTTCATTCTTCCCCCTTCCTTTCTGCCACACGGGACTTACCTGGAAAAGGTCTGTCTCCTCTCTGCTGCAGTTCCTGCTACTGAGGCCAGGGGATGCATCCACAGCCCCCCGCAGCCCGATCCAGTCTCCAGAGGCATGGAAAAGACCTCCGTAGCCCAGATCTATGGCTGCAGAACAATTTTGCGGCCATTCTTTTCCAAGCCTCCAGAGCCTGGATCCATGGCCATGGAATGATTTCGCGGCTCCTCCGTGGCCCAATCTGGGTTCCGGAGGCCTGGAAAAGACCTCTGGAGACCAGATCCATGGCTGTGGAGCAAAATTGCGGCCATTCCGTAGCTCAATCTGGGCTCCAGAGGCTTGGAAAAGGCATCTGGAGCCCAGATCAGGCCATGGGGGGCCCGCAAAATCACTCCAAGGTCATAGATCTGTGCGGATCCAGTTTCCGGAGGCACATTGAAGTATCCCCTGGCCTTGATTTGGTTCTCTGTTGCAGAGAACAGAGGCCTAAAGAACCATGAGACCATGCAAGATCAGTAGTGTGAGATCTCTCTCAACTGATCTCACGTCATCTTGCATTATTTTAGGCCTCCATTCTCTGCAAACAAACTGAAGGCCTGGAGTAGCCAAGAAAGCGAAGATTCTCCATCTTCGCAGGGTGAGTACTGAAGGCCTGCTGCCTAGGGAGACCTAGGCGGGGGTGGGGAAGGAGGGAATAACCTGGGTGAGTGTTGCATAGCCACTGCGGTCGCTCGTAAGCACGAACGACTGCTGAGGTGCTGCAGTACTTGGAATTTTGGGAGTAGCTCATAAGCACTAGGGGGCACTCATCATGTAACTTTGAACGAGTGTTAAATGAATGCTGGTAACTCAGGGATGACCTATATTTGGATGTTATCTCAATTGTCCTGAATGGGAATTATTACTGAGCAGAACAGTTTGCATATATGGAAACTGGAAGGATTCAAACAAAGAAGATGAACTACCTTGTTAAATGATATTGGCCATTGGATGGCACTCTGATTTATGGATACCTTGACTTCAGAAGAAGCTTCCCTTTCTATACTCCCAATTTTTTCCATAAGATAAGACTCTTCTGGCAACATTTTCCAGTGTATGATATTAAAGTCAGCAGCAAGAATTCCATTTTCATCTAAATAAATGCTATTGGAAATGTTGTGAAGCTGGAAGTTTCTCATGAAGCGATGTAGCTGCAAGAGAGACAGAAAATAACTCATGCAGCATACACATTTCCAGTTGAATCTTTATTCAGTGTTTTTCTGGCTATTATTCTGAGTTGGAAATGCATTGAATAATTCACCTTCTTCAGATCAGCACTTTGGTCTGAGAGGATGATTCAATATTTTCTTGTAAGCTTCTCTTGCTCCTTCTCCTTGGAACACCAGATATTTTTCTACATAAATACCTTTCATTTAATAAAGGAGAATATTTGTAGCGCAGGGTTGACATGAGGGGTCCCGGGTGCTCTCTGAGCTTGCTTGTTTTCTTGCAGACATTTCATTATCAAACTAGATAACATCATCAGGGCTAGTAAGGAGTGCAGTTTGCTGTCAGTTTATATTCCGGTGGCTTGCCCTGTCAGTATTGGTGGGAGTGGTCTTACAGATTCTTTGGTTGGGCTGTTTGCTATTGGCTCTTGGGCAATTTTTTGATTGGGGTATTGTTTACTTGATTGTTGGTTTGATGTTAACCTTGGAGATAATCTAGGATGATCTGGATGCTGATTGCTGGTGGAGAGGTGCTTGGGGCATTTTGTTCTTTTTTTGGGGGGGGGGCTGAGTGATTGTCTCTTTTGCATAGTCTATAGATGTTGTTAATGTCTATGTGTCTATTAATGGCTAATTTGTCAGAATGCCAGGCTTCTAGAAATTCCCTGGCATTTTTGGACTTGGCTTGATCTAGGATGGCCACATTTTCCCAATTGAAACTATGGTTAAATCTGTCTATATGTTGTGAAATTAAAATTTTTTTGTCATGCCTTTTGACTGCCAGTTGGTGTTCATGGATATGTTCTGCCAATCTTCTGCCTGTTTGTCCTACATAATAGTTGTTGCAGTCCTTACATTGTATGTTATAGATGACTCCTGTTTTTCTTCTGGGGTTGCTGGATCTTTTGATCTGCTTAGGATATTTTGAAGGGCTTTAATTGGCTTGTGTGTTATGCTGATTCCATGTGATTGTAGTAGTCTGTTAGTGGTTTCTGACATATTCTAAATGTTTGGCAGTGTAATTCTTTTTAGGGTTTGTGTTGGTTGTTTTGGGTTGGGTTGAATGGTCAGGGACTTTTTGATAAAGTTGTGTAGGTATCCATTTTGTTGGAATGTGAATACTCCATTTCCTTTTTCTGCTATTCTGGATTACTGCGGTGTGTTTGGGCTTGTTTAAATAAGGTCCTTATGCATCTTCTCTTGTGGGAGGTTGGGTTATTGCTTTGGTAGTGGAGCACCTGATTAGTATCGGTAGTTTTTCTGTAGACTTGAGTTTCTAGTTTGCCATTGTGATCTCTGCTGATCAGGATGTCCAGAAAGGGTAGCAAGTTGCTTTTTTCTTCTCTAATAAACTGGATTTCTTTAAAAATGTTGTTGATGATTCTGTGGGTGTTCTCTAATTGGTCCTATTTTATTATGGTGAAGGTGTCATCTACATATCTGATCCATATTTTTGGTTGTATTTTGGTTGCACCCAGATTGGTTGCATAGATTAACTCCAGGGTTAACATCAGACAACAATCAAGTAAACAATACCCCAATCAAGAAATTGTCTAGGAGCCAACAGCAAACAATTCAACCAAAGAATCTCTAAGACCACCTCCACCAACATTGACAGAAACTCCGCTCCTTACTAGCACTGAGGATGTTACTTACTTTGGGTAATGAAATGTCTGCAAGGAAACAAGCAAGCTCAGAGAGCACCAAGGACCCCTTACATTTCCTTTTATTGAAGGAATCACTAAACTGACCTACTAAATCGTAATTCAGCATAATTTTAAGAAAAAATTGAAATAAAATAATTTTGAAGTTTTAAAAATTTATTAAATCTCATTAAATACAAGAGTTTCTCTGTGATATACTGCATATGATTTTTTTAATGCCATGTCTGTCTATGTCTCTATGTCTCTGTCTCTTCCTATCTGGCTCTTGCTGTCTCTCTTTAAGACAGGGGTGTCAGAATTTCATTGAGGGCCATATCAGCATTGCGGCTGCTCTTGGGGGGCTGGGTGGGTGTGGCCAGAGTGGGTGCGGCCTACTGGATGGGTGTGTATGGAGTGGGTGTGGCTTACTGGGTGGGAGTGGCCAGCTCTACATGCACTGGAGGACCCTCATTGTTCCCCTCAGGCCATGCGGGGGGGGGGGCTGGATGATGGCATGGGCTGCCCGGAGCCCTGGTAGCAGAGGTCAAATGCCCAGCCTGGCCCTCAAGCACCTGCGGCGCCAAGCCCGGCCCCACTTCCCCAAAGGGGTGCCCAGCTGCACTTACCTCCTCCTCAAGGCTGCTGCTGCTGTGCTTGCTCTCCTTAGCCAGGTTACTCATGATGGGTACAAGAGAAAAGTCAGAGAGAGGCTCATTCCTTCTCCATGGGAGGAGACCCACCTTTGTATCCAAAGCTTCCTTAGCAATAGGATGGGAGACCCCAGGATAGGCCAAGAGGAGGGGACAAGAGGATGGTGAAAGGGCAGCAGGGCAGAACTAAGGCAGGACTTCCCACAGACCCTCCCTCTCCTTCTTCCCTTCCTTCCTTCCTAAGTACAGAGTGGCAGGAAAATATTTGAGATGAGGGAGTGAGAAAAACAGGCAAGAAACACAGCTGGGGAGGTGTTGCACTTTGTGAGGAATGTTATATGCACCATCGCCTGAAAATAGCCACCACATGGTCCTCACCTACTTCACATATCTGGCTTGATGGGCTCTGGGGGAGGAGATGCCATGAGCAGCATGAGAGTCAACATTACCTGTGCAATGCCCCCCTGCTCCCAGCTTGCCCGGTCTTGGCAGGCATTGGGGCACTTTCCTCACAGTGCCGAGAGGCTGAGCCAGGCGGTGTGAATCTGAAAAGAAGCACAACAATGCCCAGCCCCCAGCCCCCAGCATGCACCCAGGAGGTGGGGCCGACGCGGCAGGGGTTGGTTCCTCGCTGTTTTCAGATGGCTTTGTGGAGCTAAGACTGAATATGTTTCAGCATAGATGGCTACCACAAAATTCTACATTAGCTCCCAGCTGGCCTGGGCCAGGGCCAAGACAGTGGGGGCCGTTCCCTCACTGTTCCCAGGATGGCTTCACAGGCCACATGAAATCACTTCGCGGGCCGCATCTGGCTCATGGGCCTTGTGTTTGACATGTCTACTTTAAGTAATCTATCTATCTATTGTTCTAGCCAACAAGGAATCAAAATCTCTTTACTAAATTGTTTCTCTGCAGGAAGCAGTAAATCAACTGTAAATCATTTAATGTATTGTAGGGTCTTCATTTAAGTTCTCCTCCAGCCTTCAGATGGCCTAGCCAGCAGCAGCTGGGTGTGAAGGGTAAAGAGAGAACAATTATATGGAAGTTGTAGGACAAACAGGCAGGTTAGTCACAATACACAAAATAAAAGATACAAAGATCTGCCAATTGTTCTGGGCTGTGAAAAATATGAGTTACAGTATTCAGAATGGGAGCCTTCCTTAAGCCAAAAGTGGATCAATGAATCAAAACCCTAATGAGGAGAAAAGAAATAATGGGTGGAGGCATCTGGAAGTGGGTGAATAAGAAATGTCCTTCTTTCTGAACTGGAGCAAAGCAAATGCTCAGGAAGTGGGAACATCAGTGGGTAACAGAGAAGGACCCGAGAGAAATCGTATCATGTTGCCTATTGTTTAAAAATATGGCAATCAAATTTAATTGATCCGTATAGTACTTAGGCTTAGTATTGATTCTGCCCTCTACCAGAGGTGTTACAACAATATGAATTACCCCCAAATCAGATGCAGAATAGAAACAGTTGAAATTATTTTCTTATACACTTTACAGGTAGTCCTTGACTTACGACCACAATTGATCCCAACTTTTCTGTTGCTAAGCAAGACATTTGTTAAGTGAGTTTGACCCATTTTATAACTTTTCTTGCCACAGTTGTTAAGTGAATCACTACAGTTGTTAAATTAGTAATACAGTTGTTTAGGGAATCTGGTGTCCCCATTGACTTTGTTTGTCACAAGGTTACAAAAGGTGATCATATGCAACCGTCATAAGTATGAATCTGTTGCCAAGCATCTGAATTCTGATCACATGATCATGGGGATGCTGTAATTGTTGTGTGAAAAATGAACATGTCAATGTTTATTAACATATTGCATTTTATTTTGGAAAGAAAATCCTCCTGCAGTCAGTATGGCAACAGTTAGTACATTCCAATGGCTCTATGCCTAACCAAAATTTTCATTTTGACTGAAGAAGTTACTTGGATGAGTAACAAACTGTCTCAGTTTAATAAGTTTTGGTCCCGTTGCCATGATTTAACCTTTTAAGATACTTTTGCCCTGGATGTTTGAGTCTTTATTTACATACAGTATAAGTCACTTTCTCAGTGCTGTTGTAACTGAACTGTTGTAAGTCAAAGACTCACTGTATATATGTAATAAAATGTCCTTAAGAAACTGTACATAAACTGAATTCTGCAGAGGACTAGATCTGTGTTTTATCTATCTATCAGAACCTGATCTGAGGATTGCTGGAGCATCTTGAAGCTTATTTAATTTGCAAATGAGGAAAAATACTTTGTCACTATGGAGATATTTCTGTGATTACAGCATCCCAAACCAGCATAGTTTCAGTTTGGAAGAGTTATCCTTATAATCTCTCTTTCACACACACTTGGAAACACTACAGACTAGATAACTGCTGTTTGGAATATCTCTCCTCTCCCTATATAAAATTTAATATATAGGAAGTGAAAGCATCCGTGAAACCTCAAAGGAGAAGCCTTACCTGCCATGGCTGTATAATCTGGGGTGACTGATGGTCTCCAGCCAGCATCCTCCTCTTACTCATCTGATATGAAGAGATGGCATGGAGGACTGAGGCCACCGCATGGATTGCTCTGGAAATACCAGAACCATCCTCAATTACCACTCTTGCAAGCACCTGAAGGGGTGGGAATACTCCATTCTCTTTTTCTGTGCATTTTTTCCAAACCTTCTTAGACAACACAGGCCTTGAATAGGAACACTGGAATGCTTCTTCTACAAACTGTTTCCCAGTAAGGGAATATGTATCAAAGTCATAATATTGTCCCCTGTTTGTCTGTGTTTGGAAAGAAAACAAAACATGTTTTTGTTGGAGGTCAAGATAGTTGGAAAGCATTCTTATGCTTAATTTTGACAAGGCTGTTGCAATCCACACTTTTCCCTCAATGAATGTATTCTTTCTTTCATTAACAATTATTACTCCTATTAGTACTCCTGTGGCCTGAAAATTAAGTTGACAAACTATAACTTTTATGTGAATATTGCCAAGGAGAAGGAACATTTTTCTTCGTTCTTTTCCAGATAGGTCTTTAGTATGTAAATCAGCATTCATTGTTTGGGATGGTTTCTGAGCGGACAATGCAAATCCCACTTTTTACAGCTAGAGTTTCCAAGCTTCTTTTAAAGTTTTCTCCTCTTTCATTGTCCTGAGAAAGAAGGCCAATCCACGTCCATCGGAAATGCAGGAGCAGCTTGAAAATTGTTGAGTAAGGAGGTTCTGGTTTTGGGGTCATCCGGTAGAAAAAAGGAAAATGATGACTTTGCTGAAGAATGTAGCTAATCTCACCAGTGTTGATCTAAGAGGAAAGAAGGTATTGGTAGTTTGTGTCACTTTTATTGTTAAATGTCAATTGTTTAAACATAAGTTGCTTTCCCCACCTTTGAGAGAGTTTCCAGAAAAGAATGACTGCATAAAACATACTAGATCCCTTCTCTACTCCTGTCCTGTTTGCTCCTTTTGACCCTAGTGAGCTCTGAAGTAATCTGTGGGTGATCTTCATGCAGCAAACCCTTCTGGTCAAACTCTACCGTGCAGGTAAGCCTGGGTGATGAAGTGGATGCAGTAGAACACTTTTGCTACCAACAGCTGAGGATCACGTGAGCCCTACACACACGGCGGGTCATCCATCTAGTAGATCAGACACTGCAAGTAATCCAGCTCAGATAGACACAGATAGACAGATAGACAGATAGACACATATGAGGGTGAAGGTTCGTTCTCCTAGCTTGTGGGTTGGTTTCCAAAGGTTCCAAACTTTTAACGCCGCTGAAGATGTTACCTAGCCTGGTAACAAAACATTTGGAAACCAACCCACAAGTCGGAGAATGAACCTTCATCCTCATCCTACACTCGAGCTACAGATATTCACCATGATTACATCTTAATATATTGGGAGAGAGAACTTTTCTGATTTAGAAATGTCATAAACACAGAAATAGATTTCTGGTTATGATTGATGATAAAATCCAATACTCTAATGTGAGTCTGTAGCCATTCTGTTTATCATAACATCTGATTTTTTTTAAAACTAGGGCTCTGTAGATCAATAGGCATTTGAACAACTGAAGGCAGATGTTATGTGGTCTCCAGCCAGCTGTAGAAACCCATGCTTATATTGATAATAAAAAATTGGCTTGTTTTATTATAAAAAGTATAAAGAAAAAGTCAAATGCTATCGTAAAAGGATATGTGTGCTTTAGCATAAAACAAGAAAGGAGGAATTATTATATATGTCAAAGAAAAATAAAATTAAATAAATATACTTGGATGAAAAGGGGTGAATTTTAATGTTAGAAATAGTATTAGAGTAAAAACAGTATATGCACCAAATAATATGAGAATATTTGTATGATCACCATGCTTAGATCAGTGGTTCTCAACCTTTCTAATGCCGTGACCCCATAATACAGTTCCCCATGTTGTGGTGACCCCCAAGTGGGTTTGGCCACCAATAAGAGGGAGTAGGACAGCTAGGGAAAAGGGAAAAAATGGCGGACAGCGTGGTTTGGCCACCCCCGTGAAATGGTCATTTGACCCCAAATGGGGTCCCGACCCACAGGTTGAGAACCACTGGCTTAGATGGAATTCCGGTCGAGTCTTATAAAAAATATGAGTGTCACTACAATGAATAATGTTGGATTCCTAGTAAGTAGTAGAATATGAAAGAAGGAAAATGTAAATAAGAAACAATGGGGCAATAAGGACAAATATTTCAAAGAAGAAAGAGGGGGGAAATGTAAAGAATAGAAGAGTACTGTTACAAATTGCCGTTAACAAAAAAGGATACATTATGTGTGTATATGTGTAATGTTTGTTGTGCTTTGTTTTGTTTTGTTGGTCTAAAATAAAAAAAAAGGAAAAAAAAGAAAAAGAAAAAGTCAAATGCTATCGTCTCCTGAATCAGAAGCTAGGATAGCTAATTATAGCTTCAGACATCTGAAATGCAGAAGCCAGTTTAATAAGTTCACTCTGAAGCACTCAAGATAAGTGTCTTTGTGTCAAGCTTCTGTTTATAAAGGGGAGAATAAATTTATGATGAGGTACTTTGCACTGTTTTACGGAATAGAAGAAGCACGTTAAAGTTGCTGACTGGATGGATGTTTAAGCTCTCCAAGCTCTCCTACAGTCTTCTGTGACTCTTTCACCTTTTCTTCATATCTTTCTTTTTGCAATTTGAGCCTCAGACTCATTTTTTTAAAAAAAATAGGATTTTCATGATTATGAGAGTTATTGCTAGACTAGTCTGGCTCCTGGTTCTCCATCACTGGAGGTTTTGAAGGAAAATTTAGGAAGCTCTTTGCAGTGATCTGAGGATTGCTGCTTTGGATGGGGAATCAGGTCAGAAGATCTCTATAGCCTCTTTTAAGTTTTTCATTCTATGTTTCTGTGAACATACCTACCTCTTTAGCTCAGGTCACTAACTTTTCATTTTAAAACTAACTCATTCAGCATCCATATATTCTTAGCCACCATTTTCAAAATGCTTGATTGCCATTGATCCAACGCATTTTAATATTACTTGAAATAAAAGTCAGTTCATACTTTCATTTCCCAAAATGGGCAGACACCCACTGTTAAGTACTGATATTGGGGGATTTTTTTGAACAAAGACTCACTTTATGCTACTATTTCCTTTTTCTAAGGATATGTGTGTGCTTTAACATTTTTCCATCCTTTCCCTAACTTTACTAAACACTTTACCATGGGATTCAAGATCATCTACATTCTGTTTTGCCTCTTTGAAAAAAGACTTTTCAATGACCGAAAAGGAAAAGTCACAAGAGCCATGTTGTGGCAGGTAGATAAAAGAAATGTATGCATTTACTTTATGGAAATAAAATTATTTTAGATCTTTTAATATCTAATCTCTGCCTCCGGGTTTATCTGGAGATATATATGAGGTCTGCCTTGTAGTCTAATTTGAAAATTCAGAACATGCGATTAAGCTTATTTTAGCTTTATACCTGTGGAATTTTGTAGATGCCCAAGACAGTAGAAATTTGATCAAAGAGTTCAGAATCTGTGTTTTCAAGAACTGCCAGGAGATTCTTTTGTCCTCCACATCTGTAATTTGGGACATTCTCCTGTCCTGTAGGCAGCAAGTCCATCATGACCTCGTATGTTATCCTTGCATTCAGGAGGTTATCATAGATGTTGTAGCCCAGGGTGATGTTGGGTAAGAGCCTAGGATTCTGGTTGATCTCATGAACACCCAAGAAGAAGAGGAGGACGTGGTTGAATATTGCTGATGAACTGTAAAATAATATCTTATCTGTAAAACAACACTAGACAGCTCAGAACTATTCATGAAACATAATTAAAAATACACTCTTCCCTTTGAAGCCATGCCAGACATTCTCACAGTTCAACCCATCCTAGCCCAATCCTTGAAGAAGGAATGGGGTCTTTGTAGCCCTCTAGAATTCTTAAAGAATTTTACCACATGTGCATATATGTTCTCATAATATAATATTTCTTCCTTTTACACCACCTAGAAAGTAACATTTGGACAGATTCAAGAGCTGGATTTAGTCTTGAGCAACTGGTATTACCTGTCATTACTCAATAAGCCATCTTTAGAGCCACAGGTTATTTTGCTGCAGAATATTGATGTCTTGGGAGTTACTGCTCTTTATTCAAAAATCTTTAATGTAATTCTCTACAGCTAAAACATTAGCTTATTATAAGGTGTCTATTCTCTGTGAATTTTGTCTTTAAAAGTTATTCATATTTAATGCAAAAGTAAAATGGAAGCCACAAAACAATAAAAGGCATCAGTTGGAAAGAAATGTTGGAAAAGGAGAAAGGAAGGACCAAGAGCAAGGTAGGAAAGGAGAGGAGATTGTGGGAAGGTCACCTTTAGCTCAAAGATATTGAGACACTTGACTGTGAGATTGTGGGCAACTATATAATTATGTACAGAAATAGATAAATAAAGAAAATAAATATTTGCACAGTATCAAGGAAATCACATTGAGAATAGGAAGAACCCTACTCAGGCAAGAGTCATATTTGCTGCCAAAATTGCTTAATTAAAACTGACTCTTGCAGAAGAACTGAAACTGCATGCTCAGCTTTTCAAGAATCTTTATGTGCTCCAGGAGCCTTCTCCCTAAAGCAAACTGGGAGAAGCAGTATTGACCTGTCCTTCTCAAGGTGAGGAATTGAGAAAAGAGAACACATCAGAAGTGGGGTAAACTCAAGCATCAGAATCCTGTACATGCCAAAATTACCTTCTCAATCTGTGGGTTGGAGGCAAGGAGAAAATATGGGGGTAAAATGCAGCAATTATTTTAGATGTTATTCCAGTAATCAGGTAGTCTCCTGGCTTGTAGTAATTAAACTCCTCAAACTTCTTAAATTCTTCTGTTATCACCTCAAATGGACACTTCATCTGCATCAGGGCACAGGAAAATTGGGAGAGAAGGAAAATGAAAAAGAGCTTCATTCGCTGCAGCAGCAATTGACATATAACTATGGAGATCTTTCCTATAGTCTCTTCTTTGGCACAGTGCTGGATCTCATTGCTCACAAAAGAGGATAACGGCAGTGAAAATTTTCCAGTTTTATCCCAGATCTGGAAGAAAATCCTGTAATTTCAGACTAGCACAGTACCCGCCTAATTCTACCTCTACTCTCAGCAATGCCAGAGATAGTTACAGGTCAGATTTTGAGTTGATGAACATCCCGTTATTGTGACATCACTTTAAAACTAAAGAAAGTAGTGGAAATCCCAAAATAGAATAAATAACCATCATTTTAATCATTAGAAGGAGACTTGGGAATGACTGTTGCTACAGAGGTGTGCAGTTGGAAAAAAAAAAAAACAGTTTTGCATGCCTCAGGGGCACAGTGCTAGTTTAAGAGTTACAAAAGAAGCAACTCAGAATAGTTTGACTGCCTGTTACTCTAGGAAACTACTCCTGAAATTCTAAATAATATCAAGTGGTAAAACAAGTGAACATTTTTTCACTAGGTAGTGAGCGTCTAGGATAGAGTTCCCCAACCTTTCCAGCTTTATGGACCAGAAGGGGAGGGGAAAAGGGACGGTTTCATGTGAGAGGCGGGCATGTGTCTCTTCCACCTTCCCTAGAATTACAGACTTCTCAAGACAGCTAGTCTTTGCACCCTGTGCCCAAAATGTGTTAATTTCATCCTTCCATTCTCCATCAGTCAGTTAGAACTGAAAAAGCTTCTTGGATGAGAAGTGAAAGATATTCAAAGAAAAAGAAAATCTGGTTGCCTTTTGGAAAAGCACCTTTGGGACAAGGAAGAGAGTTGTTAAGTGAGTTTTGCCTCATTTTGTGCCCTTTCTTGCCACAGTTGTAAGTGAATCACTGCAGTTGTTAAGTTAGCAACATGGTTGTAAAGTGAATCTGGCTTCCTCATTGACTTTGCTTGTCAGAAGGTCACCAAAACTGATCACAAGACCCCTGGACACTGCAACTGTCACAAATACATGTCTCTTGCCAAGTGTCCCAATTTAGATCAGATGACCATAAGATGTTGCCATGCTCATAAATGTGAAAAATGGTCATAAGTCACTTTTTCATTGCCATTGTAACTTCAAACTGTCACCAAACAAATGGTTGTCAGTTGAGGACTTCCTTATTTCAGCAATTGGACTAGATCAAAGTCATCCAGCTGTTGCTTGGTATTGGCTTCCTATAAGCTTCTGAATTCAATTCAGAGCACTAGTTTTGACCTTCAAAGCCATACATAGTTAGGCAGTGAAGTACTTGCACGTTTCTTAACCCAATTTCAGTCCACCCAACTCAAACATCTGGGCAGAACCATTGTTTGTCCTGTCATCTCCCTGAGATAAAGTGGTTTGGAACTCATACCATTTCAGAGGAGGCCCCTGTAGTTTGTAACGTAAGCAACAGTGGAAGCTTTCGTGTGTTTCTACAGTTGTGAGAAATCTGCCCACTTAAATTAGAAACCAAAACCTTTGAATAGTTTTCCTTCCCATCATGTGAGACAGCCCTCAATGGAACAGTTCTAAGGATTTTATCAGTGTTTCTGTTAAATAGTGGGTTCTTGGAGGCATAGACCAGACCGATCTAATGCAACATGTTTTATTGTAAGAATAACAGAACGGAACTCACCGGCAGACTGACAGATATTTATACATGCCGCCAATAGGCAGCGACCAATCAGATTTAAACGGTTTTGCCCACTCAGATATGAACTTCAGTTTTCCTCCAGAATGATTGGAGACACATTTAAAACTAAACACATTAACGGTCAATTACAATACATAACACCCCTTCCCCCTGGACAAGTCAATCCCAGTACATTTTATGTATATAATCATTTAAGTATACTGGTGGATTTTGGAGTGCCACAAAACTGTTTGGGGCTTCCGATCAACTTGCCGTTTGGCTTTACCCCATTGGCCCGTGCCGCTAAGTCTGTCCGTACCAAGTAGACCGGTGCCATTGCCTTCGGCTGAACCAGGTAAACTAGTACCGCTATTTCTGCTCGCTTCACTTGCTGACAAATATGGTTCGCTGTTCTGTGATGATTCTGGATCTACACGTACAGTTTCTGTGGGTCTGACCGATTTGGGAATGTCCACTTCCCTATGCAAGTCTATAGTTCCCTCATCCTCTGCACCCGGACTCTGACTTGCCAGCTGCTGCCGCAATTGGTCAATGTGTCATCGGACCACATGACCATCGTCCAGGGCCACCTCATAGGATAGTGGTCCTGACTTTTTTACAATAGCAACCACCCAAGGTGTCCCCTGCCCATAGTTTCTTGCCCAAACAGTCTCACCCAAACATAAATTCCTTGGAGGCTTGGGTTGTGAAGTTTTGGCAGCTGCTCTGTCAGGATGGAAACGGTCCAACTTTGTCATTGGTCGACAACCCCATCTCAGCTCTGCTGACTGTGATCTGTAGCGGTACTTGGCGTTGTGTGCTGCCATAATAGGAAATTTGCCAGGTGATGATTCCAGTCTCCAGTCATTAGTCTTTTAAGAGACTCTTTAGTGGATCTCATCATCCATTCAGCTTGGCCGTTGGAAGCTGGATGGAATGGGGCTGAAGTGGTGTGTCTAATCATATTGGCTTTAAGGAAGGACTGGAACTCTGCTGCCAAGAATTGTGCCCCATTGTCTGACACAATGATGTCTGGTAGACCGTGTGTAGCGAAAAGCCTGTGCAGTTCCTGGATAGTCCTGGCAGTGGTCATAGACAGGTACTACCTCTAGCCATTTTGAGTAGCTGTCCACGACAATGAGGAATACCTGTCCTTGAAATGGACCTGAAAAATTGATGTGTACACAAGACCAAGCAGTTTGCGTGGTCTCCCAATGGTGCATTGGTGCTTGAGGCATTTCTGGCTGGGTTTCTTGGCAAACCTCGCAGCTCCTGACTTGAGTCTCAATGTCTTTATCCAAACCTGGCCACCATAAGTAGCTTCGTGGAAGTGCTTTCATTCTGACAATGTCTGGATGTCCTTCATGCAGGGATCCTAATACTCTGGCGCGCATTGCGGGCAGAACAATCACCCTGCTTCTCCACAATATGCAACCCTTGTGGGCTGACAGTTCATCCTTTTTATTGGCATAACTCTGGAACTCAGGACTTGCTCTGTTTTCTGGCCACACCCTCAACACCCAGTTCAAAATGCGACTGAGTGTTTTATCAGTGGCAGTTTCAGCGGCTATGTAGGGGCATTTCAGGAAGATTCTGGATTGCCAGGATGCAAGCTGCTGGGTCTGGGTCTGGATCTGTTTGAGGTAGGGGCAGTTGGCTGAGTGCATCAGCATAGCCCATTTCCTTGCCAGGTTTGTGTACTAGCCTGTATGAATAGGCAGCCATAAAAATTGTCCATCGCAGCATCCTTGGAGATAGGATGTGCGGAGTTTGCTTGTCTGATGTAAAGAGGCCGAGCAATGGCTTGTGATCAGTGAAAATGGTGAAGGGTCAACCGTATAGGAAATCGTGGAAGTTCTTAATTCCTGCTGCAATAGCGAGGGCTTCCTTGTCTATCTGCACATAATTTCTCTCTGCAGCAGATAATGTTCTAGAGTAATAGGCTATAGAAGCTTCACGGCCATTTGCCATTTTATGGTTTAGCACTGCTCCGATGCCATACAGTGATGTATCACATGCTAACATCATGGGCAGTTTTTCATTAAAATGTGCTAACATGGAGTTAGACAATAACAGTGATTTGACTGCTCTGAATGCTTTGTCGTGGGTGCTTGCCCAAACCCAGGGTGCTTTTTTATCTAAAAGCCAATGGAGTGGCTCAGCCAATGCCGCTTTGTGTGGCAGGAACGAGTGATAAAAATTTAAAAGTCCCAGGAATGCCTGTAATTCTCCTTTGGACTTAGGTCTTGGGGCTTGTTGGATAGCTTTTAGCTTAGCTTCTGATGGGTGAATTCCAGCGAAATCTCTTCAAAATCCCAAGAACTCAGTAGAGTCCACTCCTATCTGACACTTTTCTTTCTTTAGCTTCAACCCCGCTTCCTGAAATCATTGAAGTATTGTTCTGAAGCGATCTGCTAGAACTGCCACAGATTCACCTGCAATCAGGATGTCATCAAAGTAGGGGCAGATGCCTAGTATATTTTTAAGTGTCCGTTCCATTACACTTTGGAACAATCCCGGGGCAACACTTACCCCAAACTACAAGCAACGAACTCTGAATCCCCCTCTGTGAGTGACAATTGTCTGTGCCTCAGCGGTGGCATCATCAACTGGCAGCTGCTAGTAGGCTTGTGCGAGGTTGAGTTTGGCGAACACGTGACCTCCTTGAAGTGATGCGAGGATGTGACTGACCACTGGCACTGGGTAAACATGTTGCTGTAGTGCCTTGTTGATTGTGCCCTTATAGTCTGCACAAATATGGATGTCTCCATTTGACTTTACTAGGGTCACTATGGGAGTCTCCCACAGGCTACTGTCCGCTGGTTGGAGCACTCCCTGTTGCACTAATTTGTCCAATTCTGCATCAATTTTTGACTTAAGCACAAATGGCACTCTGTGCAGTTTATAGCTAGTTTGATAGTAATAGTAGTAAAGTTGGAAGGGACCTTGGAGGTCATCTAGTCCAACCCCCTGCTCGGGCAGGAAACCCTACGCTATTTCGGACAAATGGCTGTCCAGTCTCTTCTTAAAAACTTCCAGTGTTGGAGCATTTACTGCTTCTGGAGGCAAGCTGTTCCACTGATTAATTGTTCTCACTGTCAGGAAGTTTCTCCTTAGTTCTAGGTTGCTTCTCTCCTTGTTTAATCCTGATTGGCGTGACAGCCAGATCAAGATGAAGGGATATGGGTGCTATGCTGTCCTAAGTTAGAACTGAACACATCGGTGTACTCTTGCCATACTGTTGCCAGGTCAGCTGTTTGTGTGTGATTAATGTCAGAACAAGGCTTGACAGTTTGAGTTGAACTCGCTTCTTGCCTTGTCTGCAGATATAACTGAAAGTCTTATACAAGATAATGGACAGAGCTGACCTTGTGTCGAGTTCCATGGAGCAAGGTATTTTTACTTGCAGTCTCAGCTTCTCTTTAAGAGGGCGTTGGGTTCCCGTTTGCAGGATGCTTCTCCTCCCAGAACAGTATCTGGCCCTATTCTGCCCCGGGGCCCATTTACCTTTCTGCTGAGCATCTGCAGTCTGAGCATCTCTCTGGTGACCTCTACAAATTCTAGTGATGTGGTCAAGCTTCCCACAGGCACGGCACTCTGCTGTGCGAAACCTACACTCAATCCTTTTGTGTTGGCCCCAAAGCTTGCACAACTTTGAGGACTAGTACCTTGTGCTGTAGGATGATATCATCTAATGGTTTCCCTCTGTAACCAGTCGATCTCATTGTCCTCTACCACATCTTCCAGCTCAATGGACTCTTGGTGCACGGTCACTGTTCTAGGTGGGAGACATTGAACTTGTTGAGTCTGCCCACCTTTGTCATGGTGGATTAGTGGTGAGGTCTTGGACCTGTCTTCCTTGCAATGAAGGAATGAACTGTCTGAATATTGGGGATGGATCCCTCAGGACCATATGCCTCCAGTTCGGCTGACTGGTAGGCAGGGTTGGGACATGGTCCCGCCAGGGCTCTAATGCCTGGTTTAAAATCCTGTGATTTCAGTTCCAAAAGGCACCACTCCTTCAGAATCCCACCTTCATCACCATTGTTAAATAGTGGGTTCTTGGAGGCATAGACCAGACTGATCTAATGCAACATGCTTTATTGCAGGAATAACAGAACTGATCTCAATGGACAGACTGACAGATATTTATACATGCCACCACTAGGTGGCAACCAATTAGATTTAAACGGTTTTGCCCGCTCAGATATGAACTTCAGTTTCCCTCCAGAACAGTTGGAGACACATTTAAAACTAAACACATTAATGGCCAATTACAATACATAACAGTTTCTCATCTTTAGTAACTTTAAAATGTATGGATTTCAACTCCCAGAATTCCCCAGCCTTTATCCTCTTAGCTTGCATATTGGCTGGGGAATTCTGAGAGTTGAAGTTAACATATATTCAAGTTGCTAAGACTGAGAAACACTGAACTATATGTTTGGTCTTTTACATTTGAAACAGAAAGATCAACTCTTGACAGACTTGAATACCTATCTAACCTATCTAACACAGTGACCCTTCATGAACTTGTGAGAACTGCTACACATAATTTTGATTTGAGCGCAAATTAGATCAATTGATCAATCATCTCCTTCAGTAAGCTATTTTTTTTCTTTTTGCAAGTGAATAAATATTTTATCTCTTTTCAATGAAGTTACTTAATTACTTAAAGCTTATCAAGTAGCAGGTCTGATTCTGTAGTTGCCACCATCATTTAGGGTGGGTTTAAATGGTACATTTTAAACTGTGGGTTGCCACAGTTGCATGCCACCCAGAATCTCTGTCTGGGAGTTGGGCATCTATATACATTTGTTTAATGAAAAGGAAGGAAGGAAGGAAGGAAGGAAGGAAGGAAGGAAGGAAGGAAGGAAGGAAGGAAGATTTCTAAAGCTCTTTGTCTGCTTCCTAGGAGGAAAATTAATAGTGATTATGCATAGGAGATGACCAGGCTGAACTCGAGGGAGAAGGTCAAATGCATCATCAATCTTAAGTCCCTTCACACCCACAAGAAATGTTAAATCCAGCCCACCTTGAATTCTGTTGATATTTATCCACCACCAGTTTGCTTTGACCATTAATAGTTCAGATTTTTATAACGAGCATTAGCATACAATAAACCTATATTCATTTGAACTACCTGGATTCCTGATTTCCTGCATTTGACATTATGTGACTGCATGACAATGCAATCCAGATTGCAATCGTATAACTTCAGGGATGCTGGGATGGCCATAATTCTTAAAACCAGTTATTAGTACCGCTTATTCAATACTGTCCTAACTTTGACCACTTACAAGTGGTTGTTAACTGAAGACTACTCAAAGTTAGCCAATATAATTCAGAATTAACACAGATGGGAAAAGATTGTTTATAATATCTAAAAAGGAGATTACTTCTAAGGCATAATATTTTATAATGCCAGTAAGCTGTACAAAAATAGTTTCTAAAAACAGGAGTCCTCCTAGTTTTTCATCATTAGATGGTCCTTGGTGTTCATGTCAGGTCTCAGGATAATAATGAAGCATTTGGGGATAAAGATGCAGCCCAGTAAGCCCAGGCTGGAGGCCAGGATGGAGAAGATCTGCACAGCCACCATGTATTTTCCTTTGGTGCTCAAGTAGGTGGGGACAAAGGAGATCCAAACGCTGCAGAAAACCAGCATGCTGAAGGTGATCCACTTGGCTTCATTGAAGGTCCCTGGCAACTTGCGGGCCAGGAAAGCCACCAAGAAGCAGATGACAGCCAGAAATCCCATGTAGCTAAGCACAGTGTAAAACATGGCAACTGAGCCTTCATTGCATTGCATCAAGATATATCCTGGTTGGGAGTGCAGGTCAGAATCTGGGAATGGGGGAGAAATTCCCAGCCATATGATACAGATGCCCACTTGCATACCAGAGCAGGACAAGACGATGGAGTTTGCCAGACTTTTCCCCAGCCATTTCCTCATTGTGCTACCTGGTTTTGTGGCCAGAAATGACACCACCACCATGATAGTCTTGGCCAGTAAGGAAGACACGGCAACAGAGAAAACAACACTAAAACTAATTTGTCGAAGAAGACAGGTCACTGTGTTGGGGCCACCAATGAATAGAAGGGAGGTCAAGAATGAAAGTAGGAGGGAGATCAGAAGAATGTAGGTGAGGTCCCGGTTGTTGGCTTTGACTATTGGAGTTTCTCGGTATTTAATGAAAATTCCCAGAACAAAGGCAGTAGTTACAGATAAGGCAATGGCAAAGAGACCCAGGATGAGACCCAATATTTCTTTATAGGACAGGAAAGTTATAACTTTGGAGATACATTGATTTCGCTTCTTATTGGAATGCTGATCATCTGGACACTTCTCACAATGGGTTGCATCTGAAAAATATTTGCTTACATGCTTTTTTCTGCAGCTGTAGGATTGTGACAAATGCAACTGAAGTCAATTACTACAACAATACATAAAACATGTTTTTAAGTGTGATAGGAGAGATGGAGACTATTAGAAAATTCTTTCCCTCTGTACTTGGTTAAGGCCTGAGTTGGAATGTGAGAAAACATTCATGAAGGATAAATGGACAAAGAGTACTAGTGAAGAAGTGCTTGGGAACATACAGCTGAAAGTGACCTGAAACACAATAATGTAGTGCACCATTGTCTTTGGAATCTTACCAGAGACATCAGGTGGGCACAAATCTAGAACTTTGGTTTTAATTAACTTAATTGTTGTTGGGCTCTCACTCATTTGATTGTTCCAGCAAGTGAAGAAAATTGTTGAATGTGTGGATTGAAATTTTATTAATTTCAGTCATTCATGTCTGATTTAAGTCAAATATAATTGTTATCTTTATATTCATTAAATATTATGGCTCTTAATATAGCAAGCCTGGCCTGCGTGGAATCAAACAGAGGACACATAAAACAATAATCAAGGCTCATTGAAGTATTTATTTATTTAACAGTGTGCACTGGAAGGAAAGGGTCTCTTTCAAAAATATAGGGAGAGACACAGCCCTGGAGAAAAGGGATATACTCATATTAATTTCATAAAAGAGGAAAAATGATACATAAATACATATTCATAAAGAATAATATAGTAGATTTCGGGTTACTTTCTGTCCTTATGTTATCTACAGAAAACAGTGGATTTAGTTAGAAGAAACATTTGCGTCTTGAGATTCAGGAGTTGCTATGAGAATGTTCTGATTAATCAAAAATCACTGACAATTACCAGGACAAATTTCTTATGTCTCGATTTGTCTGTGTTGGAGCTCAGTTTTTCCACCAGGGTGAGCCATATCATGATAATGCACACATGTCCAAGGGTTAGGGTTGTGGACCAATAGTTCAATAGTTCTTCCCAGAGACCCAATATTAATTAGAAATAATTATCATTTGTTTTAAAGCTGAAAAGCAATGAGATTATCAACTCTTACAATACTTGACTTCTTTTCTGAAGCCAGATAAGAAGATAACAAGAGATTTAAGCTACCTTTCATCATTTATTTTAATGGACACATCATCAGGTTGACTTAGCCTTCCATCCTTCCAAGGTTGGTAAAATGAGGACTCAGATTGTTGGGGGGCAATATGCTGACTGTAAACTGCTTAGAGAGGGCTGGAGAGCACTATGAAGCAGTATATAAGTCTAAGTGCTATTGCTATTGCTGTCATGCAACATTGGGTGACAGTACCTAAGTCTTGAAAAGTTTGGGGACCTCTTTAAGAAATTCAATTTCTCTTGTTTTGTGAAATTTTTGCTAGAAATTGGATCTAAAATTAGCAGGAAAGAAAACAGTTTTTGACCAGAAAAACAAGAATGATTTTTGATTGCATCCTCAATTTCTCTCTATTTTCAAGAGCCACCTACCTTCATGCACAGAGAATGTTCCTTCCATACACAGAGAACAGTCATAGCAGCAAACTAGTGCTCCCTCTCTCAAGAGCTTGGCATGTCCTGGATAACAACTTTCTGAACATCTAGAAGAAGGCATCGTCTAAGTATAAAAATAAAGGTCAGTCAGGGCAACATATGAATTAAAAGAGTTTATTTCAATGCATTGGTTTCTGAAAGCTAAGAAGTACATTGAGCAAATGTAGCCACAGACTAGTTACATAGCAGTTACTGATGGAGATCTCAATCTTCCTTTCATTCTAACTGTTGGAGGTACCACCCAATGTGGATCTTTATGGAAAAGAACTCTGCACATGAGCAGAAAATGAAGGACATTCTCTTTATCAATCTCTATTTTCAGTCCTAAAACATAAAGGTAAAGGTAAATATTTCCCTGTCTAATCATGTCCAACTCTAGGGCATGGTGCTCATCTCTGTTTCTTAGCTGAGGGAGCCAGCATTGTCCAAAGACGTTTCTGTGGTCATGTAGTCATGTAGTTCTGTGGTTTCTGTGGTGATGACTATATATGCCAAGGCTCACAGAATGCTGTTACCTTTCCACCAAAATGGTACCTATTTATCAACTTGCATTTCCATGCTTTCAAATTGCTAGGTTGGCAGGAGCTGGGCCAAGTAACGGGCGTTCATCTCAATGCACAGGGCTTAGGTCCTGAACCTGGACTGTCAGTTTCCAACTGACAAACTCAGTGTCTTTAACCACTGAGCCATTGTGCTCCCTTCCTGAAACATACACTTCGTTTTATTCTCTATTCTGAAGGAAACTGGTTCCATTGCAAAAGATGTTTTTTCTAGGGGAGGCTCCCCTTCCTTTCTTTGGAAGGAAACCTCCAAAATCTGGCTTTCTTTGTCACCGCAAGAGTCTCTGTGTTTTTCTCCTAAAGCTGAATATTGTATCATTGTATGTAAATGACTTTCAACAGGCCTCATTTTCCCCAACACATTCTCAATTTGACATCTTTCTCCCATGCAATCCAGTGGACTACTCCTTTGAAAACTTTGGCTTTTCTTTGATTCAAAATAGGATTGTTTCATAGCCTATTAATTATGATAGCATCTTTCCAATTTAATAATGTAGACTGTAGAGGCCATAACACAACTGATGGTGCAGCAGGTTCCAATTTGTGAAAAACTACTGAAAAATCCCCAAAGATACATGATCTCTAATGAATTACCGTATATGCCGGCGTACAAGGCGACCCGGCGTATAAGACGACCCCCGTCTTTGTCGCCGAGCCGCATTCCTAGAACGTCGTCTTATATGCTGGAAACTACCAGTATTTCCGGCATATAAGACAACTTGGCGTATAAGACGACCCCCATCTTTGGCACCGATTTTAGCGCTTGTGGAAGTCACCTTATACACCGGCATATACGGTAATAGGGCTTTAGATTCCTTTTGTTGGAGGTTATTGCCATTATTCTGAATGAGAATAATTTCTGAACAGAAAAGATGGCATTATGTGGAGTTAAATAGAAGAGCAAAAATGAAGAAACTTCAGCTACCTTGTTAAATGATGTTGGCCATTGGATGGCACTCTGGTTGATGAAGACCTTGACTTCAGAGAGGACGTCTCTTTCTGCACTTCCAACTTTCACCCCAGCAGTTGACTTGTTGGGAAAAACTGTCCAATGAATGATATCAAAGTTAGCAGCAGGAACTCCATTTTCATCCAAATAAACCCCATCCCTAGAAATATTGTGAAGCTGGAAGTTTCTCATGAGTTGATGAAGCTGCAAAGACAAAGAAAATCACACATGCAGCTTACAGATTCCCATTTCAGCCTTTATTCAATGTTTTATGGCTATTATTCTGGATTGCAAGTGTTCTGAATAATTTAAACCCCTCAGTTCAGCACTTCAGATGAAAGAGATTGATTGAGGATTTCATGGGAAGCTATTCTCCCTTTTCTTCCAGGGAACAATAGGTCTTATTCAGATACTGAATGTGTTAGATACTAACACTTTCTTAAAGGAATCACTAAGTTCCCCAACCAAGCCATAACTCAGCAGCTTCATTTTAACAAAATCCAAAATTACATAAGGCTGAAAATTTAAGAATTTATTTAACCTCCAAGAGTTTCCCTGTGAAATCATACTTTTTAATAGGGTTCCTGTCTGGAGACAAAATCTAACTGTAAATGGCTTAGTTAGATTGCAAGCATCCTACTTCAGCTCTCTAGCAGCCTTCAGATGACATAGCCAGTATCAGTAGCTAGATGTGCAAGTGAAGAGAGAACATTTTCATGGAAGCTGTGAACACATTGGGACAAATGGGCAGGCTGGTCATGGTACTCAGGAGAAGAGGCACGAAGATCTACCCCCTGTCAAGTAACTTTCAGAGCGAAGAATGGGAGCTTTGCTGAAGATCAAAGTGCTCCAAGGAGGCCAAACTTTGCTGAGTAGAAAGGAAATAGGGGTGGAAGCAGCTGAAGCTGCCTTGTATAAAGAGTGTTTCTTATATCCTCCACCACATCCTCTCTTAACAAAAGCTCTGGAAGAGGAAAGTCCAGGAGGGAACAGGGAAGAATGCAGGAGATCCACCTTCAGAACACTGTAGGAAAAGCTGAGGCTTTGTGGGAGCTGAAGAGCAGAAGAACTTCAAAGTAATAAAAGACAGAGTGAACTAGGTTAGAAAGGAGAACAGACCCAACAACCTAAGAATATACACATCGGTGTGATATAAATAGGATTTCTTGTCACCCCCTCCTTGCTTCAGGAAAACCATTGATTGTGTGGATCTTTGATTCCATTTGATTTTGTAGCATCTGCAACAGTATGGCCATGAAATGTGCTATTTTCTTCGTAGAATCTGCAATTGCACCCATTTTCCCTTTCATTCTGGGGTTGTTGCCTTCTTTCTTTGACCACAACCTCCGGGGGATAAAACACACATAGATCTTGGTGCTGCAGGAAGGAAAAGAGACAGTGGGAGTGAGCCTTCACAGAAGATGAGACCTACTTTTATCTAACAGTTACAATCTGAACTGTGTGATGGATGAAGACTTTCTTTCTCCATTTTCTTCTCCTTCTTTCTCTCTTGCCGATCTTCCTCACAGGTTGATTCCTGGGCTATTTCTGGCTTCTTTGTCTTATCTTTCTCCTATTCTTCGTCTGCCTTGCTGGATCTTCCTAGGAGGGCTGTTAACAGGTGCTTATAACAGGCTGCCCAGTTTAACCACTGATGCTCCAATATAAAGCTGAATGTAGAGTAAGGGCAATCTTCTTTTTACTTCCATCTGACATTCTTCCTAAGATTGTTAAAACTGTAGAAAGAAACCTCTATGATGCCTGCCTAATGATTTGTGAATGTCTAGTTAGGCATTACATTGGAAGAAGCTTTGAGTCAGTTGTCTCTTGCTGCCCAAACCAGAAAATCACCATCCATCAGAAATCAGAAGGTTTGTCTACACCACCCAAAAGGGATCAATAGTAGAACAGCAGATGCCAGTCTCTGTTGCTTCTGCAATACACTGCCATCTGAGGCAGGGCATTTTGGGGATATTGGAAAGCTTGTAATGAGAGAAGATGGAGAACACCATTTTAACATCAGACAAGATTAAGATGAAGTTAGAGGGTGAAGTCATTTCTTTCAAAGACTAGCTGTTAAGGCATCTGCAGTACCCCAGACAATGCGTGGATGAGCCTTTCAATGCTTCCAGAAGATGCTATGAACAGACATACTTTGAAGCGGCAACCACTTTTACTCCAGAACACAAAATTAAGACTAACTCTTTGGCTCAGAAACTAGGTAAGACCAGCATTTGTGATTACAGGAGAGGGTTGAAGGACTGCTGGAACATCCTGGTGCTTATTTAATTTGCAAAAGGGGAAAATGTATAGTCATTATAGAGTTACTGTATTTCTGTCATTTACAGTATCCTACACTAGGACAGATACTTTGGAGATCTGTCCCCATAATCGCTCTCTCTCTTTCTTTCCTCTCTCTCTCTCTCTCCCCCTCCCTGTCCCCCTCTCTCCCTAACCCCCCTAACCCCCCTAACCCCCCTCCACCTCTCTCTCCTGTACACTGGGCAACTGATGTTTGGAACATTGCAACTCTCCCTACATCCAATTTCATACTGAGGAACTGAAAGGGGAATATCAATGGAATTTCAAAAGAGAAGTCTTACCTGCCATGGCTGTACAATCTGGGGTGACCAATCATTTCCAATATGCATACTCTTACAAATTTGGGAGAAAGAGACAGCATTGAGCACCCAGGCCACAACTTGTACTGTTTTGGAAATACTGGCGCCATCCTCAGACAGAATTCTTGCAACCACGTCATGGGGTGGAAATTCCTGATTTAATTTTTCTGTGCATCTTTCCCAAACTTTCTTAGACAATACAGACCTTGTATAGGAACATTGGAATGCTTTATTTCCAAAATGTTCGACAGTGGAGGAATATGAATTATAGTTATAATATTCTGTCCTTCTCTTTGTCTGGGTAAGGAAGGAAAACAAAGCATGTTTGTGTTGGAGATCAACCCTGTAGTAAAACATTCCTATACTTGTATCTGAGAAAGCTGTTGCAATCCACACTTTCCCCCCAACAAAATTATTTCTTTCAGTATGTTCTATTAGTCCTGATGTCATTGCTGTGGCCTGAAAATCCAACTGACAAAGAATAATTTTGACTTGACTATTTATAAGAAAAAAGATCATTTTTCTTCTTTCTTGCACAAATATTTCTCCAAAATGTAAATCAACATTCAATGTTGGGATAGTTTCTGAGAGGACAATGCAAATCCCATTTTTTACAGCCAGTGTTGCCAAGCTTTTTTTAAAGTTTTCTCCTCTTTCATTGTCCTGAGAAAGAAGGCCAATCCAAGTCCATCGGAAATGCAGGAGCAGCTTGACAATCGCTGAGTAAGGAGGTTCTTGTTTTGGGGTCATCCGGTAGAAAAAAGGAAAATGGCGATTTTGCTCAGGAATGTGGCTGATAACACCAAAGTTGATCTAAGAGAAAAGAGAAGATATTGGTAGTTTGTCCTACTCTTAATGATAAAAATCAGATGCTTAAGTGTAAGGGCCTTCCCCGTTTCTGAGAGAAGTTTTCAGAAAACAATATCTGCATTAAATGTGCTGGCTCCTTTGGGTCTCTCCTCTTGTTCTGTTGACTTTCTTTGAAGCTAGAGAGCTGTTACCTAATCTGTGGATGATCCTCATGAGTAAGCCTTATGCTCCATATCCTTCTGGTTAAACTCTACCCATGCAGCTTGTCTTGAAATAGATGCTGTGGGGCACTTTGCTGCCAACAACTGACTCTTGCATGACCTCTACAAACTCTGTGGGCACTCACATAATACACCAGATTCAACAAATGATTGAGAGATAATAGGGGAATCTTAATATATTGGAAAAGAATTATCCTGATTTACCAGGGATACAAATATGCAGAAATTCTCTCTCTCACAGACACAGTCATCATTCACACTGTGAGTGATGCCTAAATCCAACAATTTAGTTCTCAGTCAGCTCTGGCCTATACCTCAGCCCAATCCATATGATGCTACTCATGCAACTTTTATTTTTTCATTGGACTGGCAAACTTGTTTATTTCATAGATTATTACTATTTCTGTGACTGCTTTATATATTTTTATATTTTTATCAATTGTTTATTATTGAAATTTCATTGATTTTTTCATCATTGATTTTAAATATTTGTATCAAACTATTTAATTGGTTATTAATGATAAACTAAGATATCTCAAATGCAGAAACCTGTTTAATATCCTCTCTCTAAGGACCCCAAGATAATAGGGATGGTAGCAAACTCCAATTCATAGTAAGAGAATAAATTTATGATGAGATCCTGTGTGTTGACTTACGGAATAGAGCAGAGGTCACCAACCTTTCTTGGTTGGCGGACCAGAGGGAAAGGGAAGGGAAAACATTTTACACACGCACGTATGTATGTACGCATGTGGGGCTGTGAGCAAGCACAAATGGTCAGAGCTAGGGCTTGCGTGATACTTGCTAGCCCTGCCCCTTTCTTGCATGGCACAGCACCCCATTTCTGTGCTCTGTGGCGTGGTGGCACCTATTTTTGCACCCTGTAGTGTGGCAGCGGTCAATTTTTGCTCCTCATGGCATGGCGGCATCCTGTTTTTGTGCCCTGAGGTATGGCGGCAGCCTATTTTTGCACCCTGCAGCACAGTGGTAGTCCATTTTTGCGCTCCGCAGCGTGGCAGCGTCCCATTTTTGTGCTGTGAGGCATGGTGGTGGCCCATTTTTGTGCCCCAAGGCACAGCTGTGTCCTGTTTTCATGTCCGGCAGTGCGGTGACATCCTGTTTTGCACCCCATGGGGTGACGGCATCCCGTTTTCGCAATCTAAGGTGCGGTGGTGGCCCATTTTTGCACCCTGCAGCCTGGTGTCCTATTTTCATGCCCCATGACTATGGCACTAGCGCATGTGGGGTGTGTGCATGCACATGTGCATGCACTGGCTAGCCTGTCCTGTGGCCCAATGGCCAGCAGGCTGCGGCCCAGAGTTTGGGGACCCCTGGAGTAGAGGAGGCAAGTTCTTTGACCCACTCACTTTTGCTTCATATCTTTCCATTGAAATTTGAACTTAGACTCAAATTTTTAAAAGTAAGGAATTTCCTGACTATTAGAGTTAGTAAGTCCTGGACTAGCATGTCCTGGAGCTCTATCATGATTGTTTAGTGAATCTGGATTTTCTATTGATTTTGCTTGTCTGAAGATTGCAAAAGGTGATTACATGACCCCAGGACACTGCAACCAGCCTAAGTATGAACCAGTTGACAAGCATTCAAATTTTGATCATGTGACCATGTGGATGCTGCAATGGTTGTAAATGTGAAAAAGGTAGTAAGTCACTTTTTTCAGTGCCGTTATAACTTCGAATGATCAGTAAATGAACTATTGTAAGTTGAGGACTACCTGTATACAACTATTGTGAGTTTCTCAAAAAACATTAATTCTTATGGTATCTTCATTCTAGATGTTCATTTTCTTCAAGCTTTTGTGTGCCTTAACATTTCTCCGTCCTTTCCTCATCTCTAAGAAGCATTCTGTTAAGAAATCAAAGATCATCTGCATGTTGTTTTGCTTTTTTGAATAAAGGCTCTTCAGTGGCAGTAAAGGAGATGTCCCAAAGCCCAGGTATAGGTTCCAAACCATGTTGTGGTAGAGAGACAAAAGAAATATGGATGTACTTTATGGAAAGGAAATTCTTTCAAGTCTTTTAATATCTAATCTCTTCCTTCAGATTTATTTGGAGATATATATGATTTACCTTCTGGTCTAGCCTGAAAAATTTACAGCATGGAATTAAGTTCAATTTAGCTTCATACCTGTGGAATTTTGTAGAGGCCCAAGAAAGCAGAAATATGGTCAAAGAGTTCAGAATCCATTTCTTCAAGAACTGCCAGCAGGTTTTTTTGTCTTCCACATCTGTAGTTTGGGACATTCTCTTGCCCTGTAGACAGCAAGTCCATCATGGCCTCATATGTTATCCTTGCATTGAAAAAGGTCTGATAGATGCTGCATCCCAGGGTGATGTTGGGTAAGAGCCAAGGATTCTGGTTGATCTCATGAACAGCAAAGAAGAAGGGCAGGATGTGGAAAAAGCTTGTCTCCATACTGCAACATAATAGATATCAAAAGATCATCATCTTCCGTCTGGATTTTCTTCTTCAGTTTATGAAAATCTGTCTCATTTAGTATAGCTTTATATTTCTATATTGCAATGCAGGAAATAGTATCAGACACATAGTTATTTTCTTTAATTTATCCTTTTATTGGTTTTAAATACTCCCGTATCTTGGTTTTTCCAGGGAAGTGCTTTTAATGATGGGGTATGAGGGTGCACTTAGTGAACTTAAACAACGTACTAAAGATCTGGAAATCCAGCAAGATCAAGCTGCTCTTCCCAAGAATGTTTCTTTGAGCAGTTGAAGTTCCCCTTCTAAACCAGTGAGATATTTATATAAAATAACGATCCCAAAGATTCAAAGGGCATTAAACTTAGCACACTGCAATGCACCTACCTCCCACAGCAGTTTTGGAGGGCCAATAAAAAAAAAACCCTCTGAAGACAAGGGGTCATTGAAACTCTAGTTTGTGTCATGCTATATTACATCGTCTTCTCCTCAAAGGTACTTAGTCATTGATTGTGAGATAAGCTGCAATATAACTATGGTAAAGAAAAATATTTCACGAAACCTCATAGTATCAAGTTAATTATTTTGGGAACAGGGAAAACCCCACCCAGGCAAGAGTCATCTCAGAAGAGTACTGCCCAGACTGCCTAGTTTTGAGACTGACATTTGTAGAGGAACTTAAAAGGAAAAATTCATGCTCAGCTTTTAAATAATCCTCATGTGCCTTCGGAGCCTCTTCCTTAAGGCAAATTGAGAGAATAGCACTAGCAATAGCACTTAGACTTCTATACCAGTTCATAATGCTTTAGAGCCCTCTCTAAGCGATTTACAGACACAGCATATTGTCCCCAACTGTCTGGGTCCTCATTTTACCAACCTTGGAAGGATGGAAGGTTGAATCAACCTTGAACTGGTGAGGATCAAACTCCTGGCAGTGAGCTGTTTTAGTCTACAGTACTGCATTCTAACCACTGCACCACCACAGCTCAGAGAAGCAATGACCTACCTTTATTAGCGTAAGGAGTTGGGAACAGGAAATCATTCCTAAAAAAAGACTCTGCTCTGCAGTGGCTAAAATTACCCCCTCCCCCCCAAATCCTGTACATATTGACAATTACCTTTTCAATCTGTAGATCGGCCACTTGGAGAAATCATAAGGGTAAAGTACAGAAAATATTTTAGAAGTTATTCCAGTGATCAGGTAGTCTCCTGGCTTGTAGTAATTAAAGCCTTTATTGTCTTCTTTTATCAGCTTAAAGGGACATTTGGTCAGCATCATGGTGCAGGGAAATTGGGACAGAAGCAGAAAAAGCTGTTTTTTCAGCAGCAACATTTTGACATGTATTGATGGAGATTCTTCTCAGAGTTCTCCTACTTGCACAGAGTTGGATCTCAGAGCTCACAAAAGAGCACAACTGTAATGAAGATGGTCCAGTTTGGCTACAGATCTGGAAGAGGAACCTGCAATTTTACATCAGCACAGTCCATGTCTACTTCTATCACATTTCCTGCCCTTGGAAGAGCAGGAATAGTTTCAGGTCATATTTCCAAGATTTCTATATCTTGTATCTGTCACATTACTTTAAAAGGAGAGGAGACAATGGAAATCCCATATACTTCTTTTCAAAATAGAATAAATACTGCTTTTAATAATTAGAAGGGGAATTGGGAATGGCTGTTGCAATAGAGGTGCATTGTTGAAAACAACAGTTTTGCATCACTCAGGGGCATAATTCTAGTTCAAGAATCTGGAAGGGAATAATTTATGGAAGTTTGATTGCCTTTTACTCTTGGAACATACTGTCGAGATTCTAAAGATTGTCATGTGTTAAAACAATTGAATACTTTTCAGTAGCTGTCTGTGGAGATTCTCAGTCATTCAGGTCATGGTTGTCCCAAAGGTGTTTTTTCAAAAGGCAACTGGACTTTGCTTTTCTTTGAAGATGTTTTGCTTCTCATCCAAGAAGCTTCTTTAGTTCTGACTGATGGGTGGCAGATGGAATTATTTATATTCCGTGAAGTCATCTGATTGTTAGCACTCATTCTGAGAGTCATTGAGGCCCTCTGCCTTCAGGGGAGTGGTGGGATTCACACCGGTTCGGCAGAATCGATACCTAAAGTATCTTCAGTTCAGCGAACTGGTTGTTAAAATGGCACTTGAAAAAAGTGGAGTCTGTGTGCACATCTGCCTCATGCTTGCCCTACAGTATGTCTGCCATACTCTCCATGGTGCACTGCAGCTGATCTGAGGTGGCTGAAGCGCCATCAAAAACAGTGGAGTTTTTGTGCACACCTGCTATGTGCTCACCTGTCATTCCGTGAGGATCATCGTGCCAATCATGCCAGTTCCAGCACTTACAATAGGAGGCCGCCAGGCTCATCATGCTGATTGCACAATGAGCCTCGAGGCATCCTGCAGCAAGTGGTGGTACTGGAGATGCATCCATCAATGCCACAGATCTGCAGCAGCCTGAATCTGGGACCTATGGAAACCCATGAGGAACCAAGCCAAGCTGTGGGGCTTCCAGTTTTGTCCAGTAGCACAGCAGCTGAAGGATCATGGTGCTCTGCACCATATGGCCGATTTCTGACTTTTTGGGAACTCTAAATGGGCCTGAAGTTGTCCTGGAGAGGTGACAAAGAAGGAGGGAAATCCCGCCGATCATGGAGATACAGCCCTAAAGTAAAAAGGTTTTATAAAACCCAGCTGAAGGCCTAGGACTGGGGCAATGGCACGTGTGCTCACAGAGAGGGCTCTGAATGCTGCCTCTGGGACCCGTGCCATAGGTTTGCACCACTGGACTAGCCCATTTGTATTCATTAAATTGTCTCCCTATTAGTTCAGTTCCCCATGTTTGCTCTAATATATTTGTCTTCAATTCAATCTGTTATACTTCTTTCTCAAATTTCTTCTAATTTATATAGATCTTGATCTTTTATTTTAGGTCTTATTTTATCACAAGCTAAAAGAATGATTTCATGTATTGTTTTCAACATAGAAAAAATCTTTTGTTGGTCTTCATCCATCTCTTTCACTTATTTGTAAATAGTCATTCTAGTAAAATTTGTTTGTTAAACAAAAGTCAGTAAAGGTTTACATTCACAGTTCAAGTAGGCCAATTTTGCTGCCCAGCTGCTCTCTTACAGCTAAGTCTCTCACAGATGGTACCAAGGTCAGGAAGGTCTTATCTAAGGTCTGAGCTTTGAGCCAAGTCTCTTTTCAGGAAATAACAAATTGCAATACCAGGCTTCATCACAAGATGTCACCGATGCCACTTAGGGTTTTTTAAGTCCTGAATTTTTCTAATATTTTTCCAATTTTATTTCTTTTTTGTAGATAAAAACAAAAGTCTCCAACAGGAATAGGAAGGTTCTTTTGGGCTTCGGCTGCTTGTAGCTTGGGCTACACTTTGGAATTAAGCTAGTCTCTCCTTCTGGAGGGCTTTTCCTGGAGCGATTGGATCAATATATTAGAGCAAACATGGGGAACTGGAATAATAAGGAGACAATTTAATGAATACAAATGGGCTAGTCCAGTGGTGGCAAACCTATGGCACAGAACCCAGAGGTGGCACTCAGAGCCCTCTCTGTGGGCAATGTGCCATTGCCCCAGTCCTAGGCCTTCAGCTGGGTTTTATAAAACCTTTTTACTTTAGGGCTCTGCCGCCATGTGCAAAAAAAAAAAAGGTTCAATCAGTCAATCATTTCAACTTCTCATGGGAAAAAAATGATCTTGCAAAGTTGGAATTGATTGATTGAACTTTTTAGTCCCACCAAGTCTTCAATTACCACCTCAACCACACCCAGCCAATGGGCCATGCACAGCCAATGGGCCACATCCAGCCAATGGGCCACACCCACCTGGCACTTGACGATGCATAAGTGGATTTTGGGTTGCAGTTTGGGCACTCAGTCTCTAAAAGGTTCACCATCACTGGGCTAGTCTTTCCAGAAAACTGGCAATCAAATGGTCTTCTTTAACTCAAATAACATATATAAGAATAGAGGGAGATTTATTTGACGATTTAAAGGTGCTGATATGGAAGCCTAGTTGGCAAAGGAAGAAAGCTAGAATAAAGTTGAAAAAACTGGGATTTTGATTCATTAGAGGTGATTTTATATTGCCAATTAGAGGGTTAGGGAGATGGGAGATGAGGGGAATTTTGGTTATTAGATTTAAAATATTTGGAAATCAGTTGAAAATAAGGATTTTATCGGTTTAATATTTAAAAATTAGACTTAAAAGGGAAAAGAAAATTAAATATTATGAATATGTTTGATTTATTGATTAACCCAGGCAATATATATAATGGTTTTGATTTATTAAAGGGGATATTGTGTTATTAAGTAGATGATTTAATATGGTGGGAAATAGATAACTCTTAGGAAATAGAACAAGATTTTATTCAAATAGATAAATGTGTATTTTGGATATTATAGTTTGTTATGAAGTGAGATAAGGGAAATTTTGGTTACCCAAAGTCTGAAAATTATAAATATCAAAGGTTAAATTCGAATATTGATAAGAAATTAAACATTAAGTAAAAATCAATAACAGGATATGGATTGTTTATGAAGATTGAATGCAATTAAGATATGTATAAGCTAAAAATGTATTGATAAATGTAATAATGATGTTCTTATTGAGTTGATATAATTAGAAATGTACTAACCTGAATATGAGACAGTAAATGTTAAGGGAAAAAGAAAAGAAATATTTGATGTTGTAACTTGAGATTTGTACTAAGACTTTGTTATTGAACTATTGATTAACCCAGTCACCATGTTGCTTTTTAAATATTCAAATGTAAAATTGGAAAAATTAATAAAATATTATAAAAAATCTTTGAAAATATAAATGACTACATCTCCAATTTAACTTTACAACAAAAAAATTCTCAGAAAATAAAAATAGAGAGCAAGGAGATAAACAGACAACTAAATATAAACTAGAGGAAAGAGATTTAAAGATGGAATCTAACACTAGAAGGAAGTATGGCTCAACCCAGGTGGAAAAAAACTTGCAGGAAATATTGGACATGGAAAAGATAACTTATGCTCTAAGATCACAAAATAAGTCTGAGGACTAGAAAAAAAAATTGACAAAATGGATTACAGAGCTTCCAGGAAAACTACAAGAGACAAAAATGATAAGAGAAATTAAGAGAGAAAGAAAGAAAAAGATTTTTAATGAATACGAAGAGGCGAAACCTTCCTATAAAAATATCTTACCTGATTTGCCTTTTCTACCTACAATAACACCCACAAGACTATGGGAAGATTCTTTGATTCAGTGGAGCATATTGATCAGGAACGATGTTGGCAAAAAAGAAAAAAAAAGCCAAAGTGAAAATTAAGAAATTAGATAATGGGATTTATCAGAGGGAATATTTAAAAATTAAACATCGTTTTGAATATGGTTAAAAAGAAGAGAAAAATTTTGGATATAAATGTACATTAGCCTAAGAGGGACATGTATTGTAAGTAGTATACTATCTTCTTATTTCTTTTTCTTCTTTCTCTCTTTTTTTTTAAGATATGAGAAATGTAAAAGTATTGGGATGGCCTGTATGAGGAAAAAGACTTAAATACTTAAGTGTAATTAATTTTGAGAAAATCTTAACCAATAAGAATGTTTTGAATATTGTGGGGAAAACAAATTTAAATAAGAATTTTGTAAACAGGATCTATGACAAGACAATCAAGATGATCAATCAGAAAAGAAGCTTTATATTGATGTGATTATTATTTGCAGGAATATTAGAAAAATGTCTATATTTAATTATTATTTATCCAAATAATAAGAATTGTATTAATTCAAGATTGGCAAAAGAGAATATTATTAGAAGAAGAGAAAATAAGCAAAGCTATTATGTGGACTATAGAATTACAGAAACTAATTGTTATTGATTGTTTTTTAAATATAAACCCAGACAACACGCTGTTTACCAAATATTAAGGTGATTATGTTAAAAATCAATAATATATATGTATTTTTTAAAAAAGAAGCCAAGCCACAAGTGCCGCAGCAGCAGCTTAGGCAAGATTGCCACTGCCAAAGCCAGCCTGGTGCCTACAGGAATCCACAATGCCCATCTTGCTCCCATGCCTCTGTCTGGATGCCCGGATGACTGGTGAGTGCATAGCAGGCACACACAGACTTCTGTTTTCTGCTTTCTCTATCTGAGAAAGAGTTTAGATGTAGCAGTAGAAAGAAGGAGAAAGGAAAGGAAGAAAGGATGACGTTTGTGACATAATTTTATTAAGGATTATACTAAG